GAAAAAGAAGGAAAAGTTTTCGATTTACGTGTAATATTATTTTATGAAAGATTGTGTGATTGAAAATAAGAGAAAGAGAAAAATGTAATGTAATGAAATTTAATGGGGGCCAAACGGGGCTCAATGTACTTTGTTATCAGTATATATGAACTATTCATATTTAAATCATTATTTAATGTAGGGTTATATTAGGAAAATTTATATTTCTAATTATATTAATTACATTTAAATGAAAATAAACCTATTTTTGTTGGAAGGAGAAAGTATTAAGAAAAGAACCAAATAATAGCAATAAATGATTTGAGCTAGCTATAGCAAAATTCATATATGGTATGTGCATGAGTTGAAGAATGAATTTAAGCCATAGATTAATTGCATAGTCTTGAAAATAAATAAGGGCTCATGAACTTGAATCTTCGTAGAGATAGATAAGGGGTCGAAGATTTGGGGTAGTCATTATCATTCCCGTTCCATCGAGATTTTTTTCTAAAAACAAGGATGAGTGAGGATTAAAAAATTTCCTATTTATCACTCCGTTTAATTAATTAATTAATTAATCTTTTAATAATATTATCAAATATGATTTAAGATGGCATATGGATAACGATACTCTTAATGATTTTAAAAAGTTGATACAAGACACTCGAGAGCATACAAGTTTTGTCTTCTGAAAATGATTCAAATTTATCAAGAAGAAATAAACTAAGGCCCCGTTTGGGAGTGATTTTTTACCCCCCAAAAATTAAATTTTTTATCGTTACTTCACTATTTCAGCTGTAATTTTTGACTTCTTCTCTCACAGATAGCCCTCACTTTTCTCCTAACGGTCAAAAAATCAATTCTCAAAATTACTACCGAACAGGAGCCTGTTTGGGCCCGATTTTTCACCCAAAAAATTGATTTTTTGACCGTTATTTCATTATTTTCAGCCGTCATATTTGATTTCTTCTTTCACAAGTGGACCCCACTTTTCTCTTAACAGTCAAAAAATCAATTTTCAAAATCACTCCCAAACAGGCTCCAGACCCCAAAAGAGTATCTCCAAGAGGTCCTTTATTAATCATATTTTAGATTAAAATCAAATTTTATAAGTTTATCTTTTTTAAATAGTCAGTTATTATTTCTATAAAGGAATGAATTAGAAATTCTATATTATTTTCTATAAAGAAAAATATTTTCCTAACCCTCTCCAATAATTGTTATTCCACATAGATCCTGACATTTTCCTTTGGATTGTATTGTACAACGTGAATAATGCCACTCACGTCGAGCCCAGTGGGTCAAGGTTGAAACCCTCCCGAAAGAAATCTGGTTAAGAGCATGTTGGGCCAATCTTAAAAAGTTCAGTGAAAATTACATAGGGGCCTATTTTTAAAATTTATATTTCATAAATCATATTTTAAGTTTTATATGACAAAATTTGGATCTTAATTGATTATTTAATATGTACTAAATAAATATAATACTAATAATTCATCCCATAAACCAGACCCCCGCATCGACCCCTTTCATAAAAATAAAAATAAAAAATTGTGATCTCTCTCTCTCTCTTGTGTGCCTCTTTCTTCATCTAGAAAACAACCACCAGTAACTATAGTTGGAAACCAACCGCCGTAGCGTGTAGGACCATTGCAGTCATGCGCCAACAAATAACCACACATAGCGCAATCGCTCTTAGGATTGCCACACTCAATGCAACCATGCGTAGGACCACCACGGTGGCTCCATTAGCCACTTGCCTACACCACTCCTTCAGATCCGTCGGATCGCTTTTCAAAAATTGGAATATAAAGCCCCAAGCAAACAAACCTTAGATGAGGAAACCCGAATACATGAGGAATCGGTAGTGGTGGAGGAAGATCAATGATTTTCCTGGTTTTTATTTGTTTTTTCTGATTTTGAGGAAGAGTGGTGGTTTTTCACTTCAGTTAGGAAGAGCTGTTGCGAAGCAAATATGGTGCTATTTGGTATTGGGGAGCGGCGTCTGCAACGCCATTGTGAAGCAATGACAATTGTTGTTGTTGGTGTTAGTATTGTTGGTAGTGTGGTGGTGGTGCTGCTGCTGGGGTGGTGGTGTTGGTGGCGAAGTGGGACAAAGAGGGTTTTTGAATAATTATTTGAGTATTATAACCAATAATTGATTAATTTGTGATCTAAAAGAACATGTGATTGTGACTAGAATTTAGTAAGTCATGACCAACTAATTCGATAATTTGTAATTGAGAAATGATTTATGACTAATTAATTTGATAATTTGTGACCGTAAAATAAGTTGTGACTTATAAAATTTGTGATTATTAAATAAATTATGACTCGTAATAATTTTTTTTATATTTGATTAAAACTAATTTATGGCGCATAAAATTCTTGATTCATGATCGAGAAAAAATTTATGACCGATTAATTCGATAATTTGTTATCAAATAGTAAAAAAATTGTAATCTTAATATATTTAATTAATAAAATATATTTTTAATTAATATCTCATAAAATAAAATTTAATTATTATTTGATTTTTGAAATTTTAAATCTTCTTTCTTAGTTTTCCCATCATATTTTTAAAGATCAATATTTTAAAAACAAAGGAGGAAATTTCATTATCCATAAATCAAATATTTTATATTTAAATATTAAATATACAAATTCTGCCCAAAACATAATACCTCATTTTATCTCTAAAGTCTTAGGCTACCTAAACAGTTGCTTTCCCTGTCATAAGGGTCTGTTTTTGTCATCCATTCTCTCCCATTATTTTTCATTCTTTTTTTACAATACTCATTTTCAACCACACATTCTTCATTAAAATAATATTATACGTAAAACAAAATTTTTTTCTTCTTTTTTAACCATACATTTCAATATCAATCACTATTCTATAATACATTCTTCTCAAATAATGAATGACAAACACAACACCCTTTTTTAATCTCTCTCACTCTTTCCCTTTGACTACAAACACCACAAGCCCTTTGTTGTCACTGCCTGCATTGGAGAAACCATCATCACAACCCTGTGTTGGTGCACCCCTACAGCAGCACATGAGTGCTGCCTCGTGCCTCGCAATAGCAATGATGGCCCTCATCATCGCTGCAAGTAGTATCAACACTACATAGCCGCCTTGGTACCACCAGATCTATTATTCTTTTTTTTTTTTCCTTGAGTTCAGTTTTTCCAAAATATATGCTATGGAGTTGTGGTGGTGGATAGGTTTTTGCCTTCTTTGCAATGATCTCGAGGTTGCTGATTGTCACTGCGCGGTGGTGGGTTTAGATGGCGGTGCTACACAATGGTAGGTTCAATGATTCTATGGAGGCGTTGATCACCGTTGCACGATGGTAGTTCAAATGGCATCGTGATTAGTGGTGTTGTTATTTTTTTGGTTATTGGAGTGGTGGTGGTCGTTTCAGCGTTTGGTGTTGTTGGGAATTTTGGTAGTTCTTAATATAATTAATTAATAAAATACTTTTTTAATTAATCATTTCATACATAAATTTTATTAGTATCTGATTTTTGAAATTTTAAATTTTGTTTCCTAATTTTGAAATGAGTCATAGTTAAATTCTTAGATATGAATTTCTCGCAAAACGAAGTTTTAATTGTTATTGCTTAAATATCCAAATACACTTATTTCTAATGCCATTATTTTGTTCTCCACAATGAGATCGGTTAGCTACGTTATTATAAGTACTTTTTATCAAAATGAAGCCATCTAAAGGGTATATTCAATTAAAACTTATAATTATTTTTTGGGATTTAAAAAGTTTACGGGTATTCAATATACACCCCCAAGAAGAAATATGAACAAATCAAATAATTAGAACAAACTGAAATTGTCTCCCTTTTAGTAAATCGTCTTTATGTTGTTTAAACATCTCACGAATGACTACGAGGTTTGGGAGAAATGCCTCAATTAAAGAGTATCGAATTGCTATTTTCGTCCTGAACAAATGAATTGCCGCCAGAGAATCTTGACCTGTAATACCCTAGAATCATGAGTAATTTTTTTTTTTAATCATAGATAAATTATCTATTCGTATATTCATTTTTTTTATGACCGCGGGTGTTCGAGTCAGTTTACGCGCACTTATGAGATCCTAAAGTTTACAGTCGGGTACTCACCTTAGTGGCTCTGAAGGAATTCGAATTGGTGATCATTGAGGAACAAACCCAATGTCTAACTACTAAACTACCCTTCTAAGTTTGTATATTCATATTGAAAAATATTAATACATGTAACTATGCCCTCGTTTAACTCCCATTAATTTTCATTCCATTCCATTACATTTCATTTCATTTCTCTCTCTCCTATTTTCAATTACACAATTTTTATAAAATAATATTATGCGTAAATCTAAAACTTTTCATTCTTTTTCAACTACTTATTTTTTTAAAAAAATACTATTACACTCATTTTCATTTCCAAAAAATGGGTGGCAAAATGGGGCTAAAATAATCTTAGCCCTTGTTTCGCGGATATTAAAATTTTTTATTAGATTTTGATAAAATTTAATGAAATTTAAAGTTAAAAAATTATGTATTCCATCAAATATATAATTAAAATTAATTATTAACTTTGACTTTGATAAAACTTTGATTTCCATTTTTATCAAAATACATTTTTTCTCTCTTATTTTTACCCATACATTCTTTATAAAAACTTTTTCTCATTTTTCATTCACACAATGTCCATCAATTTACCGTTTTAAAATTCATTTTTCCATAAAAATTGGTATAAAAAACCCTGTTAGATTATAATTTCCGTCGAACATCTCTCTAAGTCTCTGTTTGGCCCCAATTAAATTCTATTCAATTTTTTTCTATCATATTTTCAACCACACAAATTTTCATAAAATAATATTAAGTCGAATTTTTTTCTTTTTCAACACACATTTTCTAAAAAAATACTATTTTCCTCATTTTCATTTTAAAAAAATAGTAGCCAGATGGGGCTAAGTTAGTCAATGAAGTTAAAATTAATTTTTTACTTTAATTAAAAAAAAAATAAAAATAAAATAAACCTGGTCCGGGTCTTGACTCTAACCCGTTCAGCGGACAAGTGAGGATCACAGCGAAGAACTTCCCCTTGAAGATTCTGTGTCCGAGCGCAATATTTGCTTTCTCTGAGGCGATAATTACTAGGTTCTTCCATTTCTGTTTAATTCCGTTCACTTTCTCGTGCGTGGTAATTTTTTTTTTTTAAAAATTTTTAAACTGTGGTGTGCTATATAAATGTGTTTATGTACTAATATAATCGAAGAATTGAAAACAGCAATTAATTTGTATATTTCTCTTTTTTTTTTTATTTTTATAGCCAGGGTTGGAGCTGAGCAGCTAGCGGTTCGTTTATCTGCAGCTCTTATGTATATATAATTGTATTTTATTTTTATTTTTTTTGTAAAGAACAATTATTTAATAATGAGGGACACTATTTTTGTATCGGTTTACAGTTCTATTAAATGTTCCATTTCCAATTTTTTATTTTTACCTTTTGACTTTAATTTTTCTCCAACTTTGCTTTGCAAAATGCAACTCTTTCCGCAAGGGTACAGTGCCAGTTTTGCAACATTTGGTCTATTTGTATTTTTATACAATCATCATTGCTTAGTCATTATTTTTAACTTCTAGTTGTGTGTCCAGGTATTTATATCCATTTAGTAATTTGTTTCCTTAACTTACTGCACTTTTCTACATGTTCTTGAATGTCTTGTAGATGGATTGTATGTCGCTTAATGCACTTCTCTTAGTGTATATAAGCAAGTTAATTTTATTTTTCTTGCTCAAAATTTGTGACAGCAAAATTTGGAAAAATTTGTAGACCGAGGTTGGATTGGATGAGTGCAGGGTCTTGATCACCTGGAATGATTTGTAAGGGTCTTTTGGTTTGATGTAAGCAATAATGGAGAACTTAGCTCAGTTGGAAGTGTTGTGTGAAAGGCTTTACAATTCACAAGACTCTGCAGAACGAACTCATGCAGAAAACACACTGAAATGCTTTTCGACAAACATTGATTATATTTCGCAGTGTCAGTATATCCTGGATAATGCTTTGACTCCATATGCATTGATGTTGGCTAGTTCAAGCTTGTTGAAGCAAGTGACCGAGCATAGTCTCTCCTTGCAGCTCCGCCTTGATATCCGTAATCTACTGTCTCATTCACATTTTTGAGTGCAATGTTATGCTAATAAAATTGCTTATTCTGTTATATATTTGTTTGTTTGGCTTCATTTAATCTCTATTGTTAGCGTGAGCATGATTTGAATTTAGTTATTCACTATTTTCTGTGTGCTTGATCACACCAGCAACATTAAAAGCACAACCTTGGTGTAAGAGAACCAACTAATGTTTGTCTATATTTTTACATGTTCTTTAATGATCCTTATAAATTGTTTTGGACTTTCTTTGAAGGAAATTACCTTGTAAACTATCTAGCAAAAAGAGGTCCAGAGTTGCAGCCATTTGTGATTGGATCTCTAGTTCAGCTTCTATGTCGAATTACCAAATTTGGATGGTTTGATGACGATAGATTTAGAGATCTGGTTAAAGAGTCGATTAACTTTTTAAATCAGGTAATATATTTTTATGCATGATGAAATAATGTTATGCTGATGCAAAATTTCTGCATCCTTGGAAGTAGCCATCTGTGTGCATATGTTGTCTGGCCCTTGTTATTCTCATGCAGTCTATCTTCTTAATGCTTGGACTAGACCTAACCCCACTGATAGTACCAATAGGTCACGACCTGATATGATCCGGGCTAAGCGCCAAATTCTCAATTATTTGACGATTGTTGGAGGTCGATTAATACCAAGATTTAAGCTCATTTGGGGGTTAAAAAGGGTTGATAAAGATGGAAAATCTCATGATCGAGCTTTGGAATTCAAAGCGTGGGAATTAACGTGCAATGTAACAAGTTCCATGATTGGCGGGAAGAGACAAAATGTAAACTCGGGTTTGATCACAGCTAGTTACTGTCCAAAGTTCACGGACTGCATCTTGTTGTCTAAGGCTTTGTATGGCTGTTGTGCAGCGACTAATAACAAGTTATTCGAAGCAAGGTTAAGCCTTCGGTTTAGCAACGATGGAAAATACTCGTTACTGGAAATACTATGAGTTTTAACTTGTGTCATTTAGGAAGGAAACCTAGGTTAACTGAGTACTTATTTAAGTATTACAGTTGGCAGGCACGTATTATTAATATTATATTTTGATAGTCCAAACTTAGAAGGCATATTATACGATGCATTCTCTAAAATGAATTTACAATAGATATGTGATGAATTTTTGAAATTTATTTTTGAACCTGACTTGGTTACTTGATTATTCTGATGTTGAGTTTTACGAACTGGTTGTTTATGTGAAATCAAACAAGTAGAAAATTTGCAGAATATACCTAGCACAGTTTGCACAATCTTCAGTTAACTACTATGAAAAGCTTGGTTTCATCTTGCTATTCTATTATGAATTCTTAAGCAGAAGCAATTAATGACCTTTGGTGATGCATAGTTTTAGGGTGTACTCAAAGTCAGAAATGATGGGCGGAAGTGCGCACTAATATTTTTAGGACCGTGCTACACGTACATAATGGTTTACTTAACCGTTTACACTCTAATCACATCATCAAGGTGGGGACCATGGATCGGCATTATTAAATACACGCGGGCCCGCGTGTTTGTGAGAGGGGGTAAACGCTTCGGTAAACCCCCCTCGGTACAAAGAGAATAATCCATATTTTTATATCAATCTAAAGCCTTTGAGAATCCAAATGACTTGAACGAAGTACAGATCTTTATATTTTGTAAATGAATGGAGTAACAACTAACAAATATTTAATAAACAAAAAATGTATGAATAAAACTATGAGCACGTAATGCTCGCAATACATGACATACATAAAGAGGCATCATTAGGCTGGTAAAATGAAAATGGTCAATGAAGCATGAAAATGGAAAATGTAATCAACTTCTTAAAATGTAACCCATTATTTAAAATTATGCAAGATTACATGTATTTACGATGATTATTATCAAATGTTGACATCGTCTTAAAATACCTGCCATTTTACTAAAAGATAAATATTTGGGCAATATCTCGATGTATTTCTTGGAAGGGGAAAAAATATATTCACTTAATCGAAAGTACTGGATTTATTTAGTGGGAAAAAATTGATCAAATTTTTTAAAAATTCGATGAAATTATACCTTTTTTTCTACCAAGAGATTGTTGGCAATTAAGGGGCTTTCTTATAAGCCTTCGGGCTGCACGAATTGTTTGGACCAAAATTTACACAATTATGTTTGAGCAACTTATAGTCATTGATGAAATCACGATTTTTAGGGATTATTTATTTCCATAGTTAGAGTTGTAATTAAAGGATTGATTGATTATTGTAATCTTTAGATTTGGTAGGCAATTATTTCTTTCCTTTTTTTTTCCCTTCTTTGTACTATAAAAGGGACGATGTATAGCTCATATTCAATAAGAAGAAATTTATAATCTTTCTCTTCAGTCATCTTTGTCATCTTCGTTGTTTTTATATTGGAGAAGCCTAGCATGTATTTTTGGATGTATTGTCGGATGATTCTTTACAATGCCAAACAAGTTATCATTGCTATCGTATTAATTCTTTTAATCATCATTACCACCATCTCTATATCTCCTTTAGAAAGAGAAAAGTTGTCATTAGTCGATTCCACATTTTACCTTTAAACCCGCTTTACCATCGAAAACATATCTAAAGCAGGGTAAGTAAACAAAAAATAGATACTGTAAATAGGAATATCTGAATCTAATGGACTTTGCACGATGAAGCTCGCTAAGAAAAAGAGAATTTTTATCTTATTTGTGTTGTGCATCTGTGCATGTCTGTTTTTGCCAGTCCTGTAGTTATACTTTTGAGTATCCTTTGGATTTCTATTAGGTGCTTTCTATAAATATTTTTGAAAACCTTTTTCCCCTTTTGTTTTTATGTTTTTGTTTTTGTTTTTTTTTTTTTTTTTTCCATGGGAAGATTGTAATATATTAATTTCTTTTTGGATGAATTAGCATTTTTAGGTTCAGTGATGGGCATTCTTATCTTTTATATATGAGCGCTTGAGTTTACAAGTGGACATGTTCATTCTTTTGGGCTTTATACAACTTCTATTTAAAGCGTCACTATTATTACGCTCTGTTTTCTTCTTGTAGATGTTGGCATGCTAATGCTTGCACATTCTTTCTGATAATGTTTTTATTTATCAGGCAACAACAGATCACTATGCTATTGGTTTAAAGCTATTAAATCAGCTTGTCTGTGAGATGAATCAGGTTGGTCTCTTTTAATACTCAATGAAGTTTTTATTTAGCCCCTGTTTGACAACCATTAGAACAAAACTCCTTTTTTGTCAAACTCATTTTCACAACACATTCTGATAATAAATTATTCTACGTGTAAACCCAAAACTTTTTCTTACTTTTTAACCATACATTTTCCAAAAAAATCACTATCCCAAAACTCATTTTCCCCAAAAAACTCTTTTTAATGGTTGTCAAACGGGGGCTTTGGGAGAATCAGAAACTGAATGTCATACATGTACTAAATGGGCAACTTGAGAAATCTGGTTATTATGCTAATCAACAATAAACCCCGTGAAATCACAATGGCATTGTAGTTTTTTCACCTGAGAGCTAGAATGGTCTCATACTTCTGTCTCTCCCCCATTTCTCTTCTTAAGCTTCTCTTTATCTAAACCTTACTTGATGCCTTTTGACTGTCTACGTTCAGCCAAATCCTGGATCGCCTTCAACACATCATAGAAGGATTGCCTGCTCCTTTAGGGATCAATCTCTCTTTCAAATTTTCCAGATATCTCTAACTTCATTGCATCAACTGAAAAATGATGGTACTGTGTTGGCTTTTGTTCTCATTCTGCTACACTGCTAGCTTATTGTGTTAATATGTATACTTTTGGCTCTGAGTTTGATAGTTACTGGTTTAACATATGCAATGCAGCTATTGATCGCTTGCGAGAATTGGCACTATCTCTTTCTCTGAAATGTTTGTCATTTGATTTTGTTGGGACATCAATTGATGAAAGTTCTGAAGAGTTTGGTACTGTTCAGGTATGACTTGTTTGATTAACAAACGTGTTATGGAGAGGTAAAGATATGAACAAACTGTCCGTATAAACATGTTATGCAGAGATAAAGATATAAACTATCTATCTGTTCTTATGTTAGTTTTTCAAAAGTTAAACACACTATACATTAAGCATAAAGAAACATTTTGTTTTCTTAACATCAAGAGAAGTTGGTTAGTATATTCTTTCTGCAAATTGTTGACATAGACGAACCTGCTATAATTTCACAGATTCCATCTCCTTGGAAGCCGGTCGTAGAGGATTTTTCTACACTACAGATATTTTTTGATTATTATGCACTCACAAAGCCACCTATGTCAAAGGAGGTTCGTTTATTTCATATTCTTTGTAAGCATATTTATAGTCTTGGACTCGTAATTTTGTATTGAATTTGCTTCTCTCAGTACTTCATTTAATTGACTTTTATTAGCAAATGTTAAAATTCATGTATAGGGAAGTGCTATCTCTTGACTATGTTAGTGAGCTGGCATGTGTGGGACCTTCAAATATGTTGGGTGGCGCATTAGATGGTTGGTGTAGTCTGCATTGATCCAAAAATATAGGCCAGCCATTAGAAAAGGGATTTAAAAAATTGAGCAACTAGTGATTGACAAGAGGGAACAAGCTCTGTGCTAGTTCACTTTATTTTTGAAATTTTATAGACTTCATCTCTCCTCATTCTGTTAGTTGTTTCTATGAAGTTTCCGAAGTCACAATGCTTGGCAGTTTTTAAGGGCTTCAAGGAATGCTACTGGGTATTACTACTTGGAAACATATTGTTTTAGGGGGACACGATCCTTCTTGTTCCAACTCTATTATTGATTTCAATGTTCCAAATGGAAAAATATGGTTCTGTATTTCTTGTACAGATTCTAAAATTGACTGCTATTTTATATGTTGTGCACGCTCTCTTAAGTATGTTAAATTACCTAATATCACTATCATGTACTTGATATTCTTAAGGACACTGCATGACATATGACATTTGGCTATGTTCCTAATTTTTATTTTATTTATTTTTTAAAGTCACTGGAGTGCTTGGTGAGGTTAGCTTCTGTGAGACGCTCTCTGTTCACAAATGATGCTGCCCGTTCTAAGTTTTTGGATCATCTAATGTCTGGGACCAAAGAAATTTTACGAACAGGGCAAGGTATGTGGGCCACTATTTGTTTCAAAGTTCTTCTGACTGTAACGTTGTATATTTAATTTTGTTTATTTACGTTTTCCTTTCTGCCACACCCAAGTCATTTCCTTTATAAATAATGTGTTGGGACTGGAATCAGGTCTTGCCGATCATGATAACTACCATGAGTTTTGTCGTCTCCTGGGACGCTTCAAAGTTAATTATCAGGTATTCAATTCATATTCTTCTGACATGTTGCCTGCCATTTCTGCATGCTACTGTTATGTTTGGTAGTCTATTAAATCTTCATTATTATTGCTTCTCGTGCATATATATTTACAAGTTAAGATGTGCTAAGTTATTTGATATTTAGTAAGCATAAGTTTGGTATTATTATTATTTTTTTAATAAATTTAATGTTTGAAATATGCTTTTACCTTTTTTGTTCTTGTACAGATTGTTTGCCTGTTGGTTCCTTTCTTATTGTTCCTTTCACAGATTTACAGAAGGGAGGAGAGGTCTCTTTGGTTGTTTGGAATTTCTTAGTGAATAACATCAGCTTGTTTTTCATTCTATCTCATTCGTAATGGGCATATGGGCTCTTGCATTTATAATAAATAGTGATGAGGAGAACAACCCACATATGATGTAGGAAAAATCATGCATACTACTATAAGGAATTCCTATTACACTAATGAAATCTTACAACAGTTTTAGAATAAAAACAATACAGAGTTCTAACACTGCCCTCTGGCTTGAGCATATATGTTTAGTGCTCCAAGTTTGTTACAAATAAATTGTACAAACAAACATCCTAAGGATTTTGTTAGCAAATTTGCCAACCTTTTTTTGGGAATTGATTTAATGGATCTAGTACAAATGTTTTCCTTGAAAAGCTATTCATGGATTTAAATATGTGAAAATTGAAGCCATGGTAACAAACCTTTCATTTGTACCACCGTGGGTACCAAACTATTAAAAAATTTGCAACTCAAGTCCAAAATGATGGTTTTCGTCAATTTGACCACAAAATTGTCAGTTGACTCCCAAAATAAGAAAACTTTATTAATTTCCTCGAATAAGGCAGGGGCATTTTTGACAAATCGCATTTCTCCCCTTAAATTAAAAATTTAAAAACAAAAAATAAAATTTCAACCCATCCTCATCTCCTTCTCCAAAATCAAAACCACTCTACCTAACCGCCACTACTGGCATCTAGCACTACCCACCCAACGCCGACATCATCACTACCTAAATCGAAGTTCAACTCCAAACACGTCTGATTCCCCTTGCCACTTGGTAACCTTTGTGAATATTATTGAATCCCGGCTCGAAGAAAAGATCCTCCACTCCATTCGATTGCTCATCCCCTTCTTTTGCTTCTGGCTTCTATTGCTACTTTTTCGATTCCCATTCGCCTCAAATTTCTCCATTATTCTCTTTTTTGCCATCAAAGTTCAACACCCACAACTCATAAACTCTAAAAGTGTGGCGGTGTTGTTGATTTTTATGAAGAGAATAGGAAAATCGATGGTTACAGTTAATGAAAATGAAAGCTGGGTCTGATTTAATCCAGGCTATTTAGCAAGATTACGTTGATGAGAAGGTTGGATTTTTGAGACATTTGTGCAGCATTCATTTGTATATATATATGTGTGTGAGTGTATATGTATATACATACATACATACATATATATATATATATATAAATACACACATATATATACACATATATATATGTATATATATGTGTATATATGTGTGTGTATATATATGTGTGTGTGTATATATATATATATATATGTGTGTGTGTGTGTGTGTGTGTGTGTGTATATATATATATGTATTTATATAGCTTTGACACGCAACAACCCATATACCAATGTGGACAACCTATTAGTAATAGTTGACTTGCTTCAAATTGCAAGCCATTTGCCTTCCCATAAATTGTTCGTTTGACGAAGCACAAGGGGAGTAGCGGCAGTGGTGGTGGAACCAGATCAAACAACATTAAAGGTGTTAATAATTGTTGTTTTCAACTCTGTAAAATTCCTTTCAAAACTCTGATTTACGTTGATATCTTTCTGGGACTTCTTCTGTTGACTTTGGTGAATTAGTTGTGGTCTATTTGTGGTGGAAATGATTTTGGATTGTGACGGTAGTGGTGTTAGTGGGTCCCTCTTTTTCTGGTATAGTAATGGCTTGGGGTGGCTATGGGTGGTGGCGATTGGATGGAGTGATTTAGGTTTTGAGCTTGAGTGGTTGAAGAAGAAGGAGATGGGGGGATGGGTTGTGGTTTTGCTTTTATTTTTTTAATTTTTAATTTAATAAGAGAAATGTGGTTTGTGAAAAAAGTCCCTACCTTATTTGGTGAAAATGATTAAGTTTTAAATTTTGGGAGTCAATTGACGATTTGTGGTCAAATTGACGAAAACTGTCATTTTGGACTTGAGGTGCGAGTTTTTTAAAAGTTTGGTACCCACATTGGCACAAAGAAAGATTTGGGCAAAATCTGCTTTTAAAAGAAAGGTTTGGTACGTGGCTGCAGTTTTCCATTTATATATCAATATATATGCTTTTGAACGCCATGCTACACGAATTGCAAAATTGTTATCACAAAATAAATTCTTAGACAGAAGAAATGAAAGCCCAAATTCTATAGCATGTTCTTCTACCATAACAACAACTCACTATTGATATAACTCAGTACTGGACTTCTTGAGCGTTCACTTTGATTTCATCAGTTTCTAAAACATTGGTTCTGTTTGGTGGATTTGGTTGTAAAAATTCTGATTATTGCTTTGCTAGTGATGCACGTGTGATCTACTTGCTGGTGCTGTATAGATTTATTGCTTAACTAGAGTGGGAAGCTAATTTAGATAAATAAACCATAGAAAACTTGTAAGTAGTCTTTGACTGGGAAATTCTGTTTACTATGAAAGTTATAATCTCCATTAAGAAAGAACAGGGATTTCTGCTGAAAAAATGTGGTAAACCATTAATGCCAATCTGCTTAATATACAAATCTGAAACTGAGAAATGAAGGAAAAAATGGACATAGCTGCAAAATTGTTTAGTGGACGTCGTATACTTTGTAATGCAGTGTCAGTGCTGACCTGCTGTGTCAATCCATATGATAACTGATGTTGGATTATCATTCTGCCAACAGATGTAAGATAACTATGAAAAGGAGAGTAGCATGTAGATTCAGGATTGACAGGACGAAAAATTAAGATTGGTTCCTTCCATTCCTTTTGCAAAAAACATGCAGGGAAACAAAATTCAGGGAGAAAAATGGTATAGCTCTGAATGAGTTGAGAATGCTATTAGAAAAAAGTTGAGAATTCTCTTTTGGTGGTCAAGAGAATCTTAGTGTTTTTACCATTATTCCTCTCCCTTTGCTCTTTCATTCATTGTTTACGCTACTTGAACATATTCTTTTATTTTATTATGTAGAATGCCATACTTCAATGCATATACACATTTCTGTGTTCTTTTCGTAATTTTCTACCCCCGGGTCGTGCTTCTCTTGGGAGTTTTGATACAAAGTAGCTTCCACCCCATATTAGTCTTTCGTTTTGTCTGAATAACTCCTGTATGTTCTAGTCAATGCTATCATTATTAAGTATGACTATCTGCGAGATGAGTAAATTTGACTATGTGATGCAGCTGTCAGAACTTGTGACTATGGAAGGCTACGTTGATTGGATACGTTTAGTTGCAGAATTCACGTCAAAATCTCTGCAATCCTGGCAGGTATGTGGTTGTGAAGAAACTTTAACTGATTTTCATAATTGTTTGCACAATGTCCTTTAGCTTCAGCCTGCAAGGACCTTGATGCGGCGTTTGAATCTGAAGATGCTTTAAAATTTCGCTTAAGTTTGTGTCTTCTTTCAGTGGGCCAGCAGCAGTGTGTATTACCTTTTGGGGCTGTGGTCTAGGTTGGTGAGTTCTGTACCGTATCTGAAAGGTGATGCACCAAGCTTGCTCGATGAATTCGTGCCAAAAATTACTGAAGGTTTTATCGTGTCAAGATTGGATTCTGTGCAGGTATAGTTCTGGCATATATAACTAGACTCTGAATAAGTTTCTGGCAACCATATTTCCTCTTGTTTCAACTTGTCATTATAGGCTGGGCTACCTGATGATATTTCGGAGCATCCACTGGACAATGTTGACCTCCTTCAAGATCAGCTGGATTCTTTTCCATATCTTTGCAGATTCCAGGTTGCATTTAGACATGACTTTTAATTTTTCTGATAGTGTTACTTCTTTATACTTCTTTTCTTCTCTTTTTTCCCCTAATCAACTTTCCTTTTCCTTTTGACCTATATAAATGCTTATTATTTCAGTATGAAAGCAGTAGCATGTTTATTATAAATATCCTGGAGCCCGTCTTACAAGTATATGTGGTATGATGAATATTCAATCAAAAACTGATACATTTTCAGCTACATTCCTCCTGACCTCCCAAACCTTCTGACAAATCTTTGGTCTTTTTTTCATTCTCTTGCTTAATAGGAAAAAGGTCAGCTCCAGACAAGTGATAATGGCGAACTTTCTGTGGTTGAAGCCAAGCTTGCTTGGATTGTACATATAATTGCTGCTATCTTAAAAACAAAGCAGTCTGTTGGGTGCAGGTGAACATAATGTTTTGATTTTCTTCCCAGTTATGTACACCTCAAATAATTTTGTGTTATACTAATGATATCATGTCTGTCTATCATGCAGTGTGGAATCACAAGAAGTAATTGATGCAGAACTTTCAGCCCGTGTTTTACGATTAGTAAATGTTGCTGATAGTGGGGTACACAGTCAGGTAGACCAACAGGAGAAGATAACCTTTAATTTGAGATAGCTTTGAAACTTTTAATGGAAATAAGTTCCATGATTTCTAATGCTCTTCGCCTCTCCTTTTTTTTCACTTCTATTTGTATATCGCATATATTTGATAACTTTTCGAAGTGTTCAGCCCACTCCATCCTAGTAAACATCTCACAGACTGTGGTGTTTCTTCCTGGAATTTAACTTTTAGCTATAATTTTCTCTCAAGATTCTGTGAAGCCCAAACATTGTTCTATCTTTGTGAAATCATTTTCTTGGCATACTCTCTCTCTTGTTGCGAGTATTTTTCACATTTTAACATTAGGTAACAAAAAAGTGAGAATTTTTTTTATGTTTTTCTTATAGGACATCACTGCTTCTTTAGTAGATTGTATCTGAAAAAAGTTCCCTTAATATGTTTAGTGGAATGACTGAAGTGAACTTATTCAAGTATGGCTGATTTGCAGAGGTATGGCGAATTAAGTAAGCAAAGACTTGATCGTGCAATTCTCACGTTTTTCCAGCATCTCAGAAAGTCTTATGTTGGTGACCAGGCTATGCATTCATCAAAGGTGATATTTTTCTTCTCATTAAAGAGAGATCGATTTGTTATGCAAACCTTGAACCTCTCTCTTTGATTGCAGCAGTTGTATACCCGATTATCGGAACTTCTTGGGCTCCATGATCACCTTTTATTATTAGATTTTATCGTTCGAAAAATTGCTACAAACCTCAAGTGCTACACAATGGTGATGATTCTACTCTTGCATCGTTTTTTTGATATTGTTTGGGGGATTTTTATTATCTCTATTTGTTTCTACATGCAGAGTGAGGAAGTTATTGATCATACTTTAAGTCTGTTCTTGGAGCTGGCATCTGGGTTTGTTACCTTTCATAGTCTTTTGAAGAATCTAATCAGGTTAAT